CATTCGGGGGCTAATGATGAAGTCATGTACCTAGGGTAGGGTCATGGATCTGATCAAGATACCCTCCCCAAGGACATCCCTTAAAGAACCAGAAGCAGTCGAATAAAAATCATCGACTCGACCATAAAGCCATGATCCACTCGACAGTCTTGAAGACACTCGACCATACAAACAACCACTCGACTACCAGAAGACTAAGAGCCACTCACTCTGCAACGGTCGGGATTTAAGTCATAGCGTTAATGGTCATTTATGTACTTTTATTACAGGCGTTACCAGTAACGTCTCTGCCTTTATGTACCTTAAACCCTTTATAACTGAGGGCGGGAGGGGTCTGGCAAACTCTATATAAGCCACCCCCCCTCCTCGGGGACAAGGGTCCGCACCCCCTGTAACACACACGCGCATAATCCAGTCGACCGCCTCCGGGCTCCGAGACATAGGGTCGTTACTTCCTCCGAGAAGGGCCTGAACTCGTAAAACTCACGTGTACAACTCCTCCATAGCTAGGATCTTGCCTCTACATTCCTACCCCCCCCCCCATTCTACTGTCATACTTAGAACCACGACACTTGATGTATGCCATCTTTTCCATGCATACGTTGATGGTCCTCCCGTGCCTCCGGTGTATCTTTTGTCTTCCCATACACACCCAAGAAGCCAAGCAGGGTCACGCAAAGATTCTTCGTCACGTGCATCATGTCGATTCCAGAGCGGACCTCTAGGTCTTTCCAATAGGGCAGGTCCCAAAATATAGATTTCTTCTTCCACATGGGTGTGTGTCCGCCAGTGTCATTCGGAACAGGTTGTCCGCCAGGACCCTTTCCAAAGATTACCTTCAAATCCTTGACCATATCATGTACATCAGCACCAGTACGGTGGCGAGGCTTCGTCCGGTGATCTGCCTCACCTTTGAAATGCTTGCCTTCCTTTCTTACGGGATGCCTGCTCGAAAGAAATCGACGATGTCCCAGGTACACATTCTTCTTACAATTATTCAAATATATACTGTCGGTATCATCCAAACGGTGAGTGCATGCGCGGTATCCCTTGTTTGTTTGTCCTGAAAGGTTACTGAGAGCAGGCCAATCATTGATGGTCACGAACAGCAACGCCTGTAGGTCAAATTCTTCATGTTTGTGCTCATCCCACGCACGTACACCTTTTCCATTCCACAGTTGTAAGAGTTCTTCAACCAATGGCCATAGGTACACATCAATGTCGTTGCCTGGTTGCTTAGGGCCTTGGATGAGCACTGGCATCATAATGAACTTCCGCTTCATGCACAACCAAGGAGGAAGGTTATACATACATAGAGTCACGGGCCAGGTGCTATGGTTGCTGCTCTGCTCCCCAAAAGGATTAATGTCATCTGTGCTTAGACCAAACCATACGTTCCTTGTGTCACCTGCAAAGTCCTCCCTGTACTTTCTCTCGATTTTTCTCCACTGCGACCCGTTAGCGGGTACTCTCGACTTCCCGCCTTTCTTACGATCTTCTCTGTTCCATCACATAAGCTTGGCATGCTCTTTTTTTGGAACAAATATTTCAACCGTGGTATTATAGGAGCATACCACATCACCTTGGCAGGAATCTTCTTCCTGGGGCGCTCGCCCTCGACATCATCAGGGTCATCGCGGCTGATCTTATAGCGCAATGCACCGCATACCGGGCACGTGTTCAAATCCTCGTACTCACCGCAGTAGAGGATGCAGTCATTAGGGCATGCATGTATCTTCTGCACCTCTAACCCTAGAGGGAAGACAACCTTCTTTGCTTCGTATGTACTCTTGGGCAATTCGTTGTCTTTTGGAAGCATCTTGTTTAACATTACCAGCAACTTTCCAAATCCCTTGTCAGATACACCATTCTCTGCCTTCCATTGTAGCAATTCGAGTGTGGTGCCCAGCTTTTTCTTGTCAGCTTCGCAATTCGGGTACAATAATTTCTTCTGATCCTCTAACATAAGCTGCAACTTCTTCTTCTCCTTTTCACTTGCGCAGTTTCTCTTTGCAGCGGCAATGGCCCGACCTAGATCCATCAGTGGGCTCATATGATGCCTCTTCTTCAGCTTCTTCCCGCATTACCGGCTCAGCTTCTTCCACCATTGTTGTACCATCGTATTCAGGGAACCCATGGCCAGGATAGATGTCGTCGTCCTCTTCTTCTTCATTGTCTTCCATCATGACCCCTTTTTCTCTGTGCTTGGTCCAAACATTATAATGGGGCATGAAATTGGACTCAAACAGGTGGACATGAATGGTTTTTAACTTAGAGTAATTCTGACCATTCTTACAGCCAGCACATGGACAAGGCATAAAACCATCCGCCCGCTTGTTTGCCTCAGCCGCAAGCAGAAAAGTATGCACGTCATTAACGAACTGGGGAGAGCATCCGTCATCGTACATCCATTGCTGGCTCATCTTCATTACACAACACCGAAAAGACCAAATTAATATAAGTTCATACATAAAGTTCATACAACACTTATTCTCATAAAACAAACATACAAATAACTCTCTAGCTAAAGCATTTAAATGCAACAACAGATCAAGATCGCAACTAAGATAACAATTGATCCAACAGCATAATGATACCAAGCCTCATTATTGGCATATTTCGTAATCTTTCTAATCTTCAAGCGCATTTTCTCCATCTTAATCTTGTGATCATCGACGGCATCGGCAACATGCAACTCCAATTCCATCTTCTCCCCCTCAATTATTTTCAAAAAAAATTCAAATATTCGTTTTCTCTTTCAACTAAATTTAACCTCTCGACAATAGGGCCGGTTGGAATTTCCGGTTCACATACCTCCTATATAAAAATGTCTATGTCAACTTGATGGGCATAATTTGTCATAAACACGAAATGCAATAAATAGTTATAAAAGAGAATATACCACATCTGAATCATAACCCGGATGAGGGCCGGCCGGGACGGATATCAAAGCCATGGCACTATGTATAACAAACAACGTACGGGTAAAGATAATTATACGAGTAACTATATATCTAAATCACACAAACATGATTTTTTTATATATATATAAAAGATAAGAACAAGAGGCTCACCACAAGGTGGTGCCGGCGACGGGACAGTGCGGACGATCGACGGTGATTACGACGGAGACGGGAAGGCACTAAGTAAACCACACCTACATATGCAAACTAAGAGTTATTTTGACCTCAGATTGCATATAAATCAAATACTACCACATATAATTTCTCCCAAAACAAAACCCACAAATCGCTATACTTACAGAGCATTGCAAGAGCTAATCTAGCAATGAGAGATGAAAGGACAAAGTTGATAACCTTTGTGATCACTTGGGTGGATGGGGTGCCTTCAAATCTTCACAAATTTTGGCAAAAATGGAGTGTGAGCTCGAGAGGAAGAGGAAGAAAACAGAGGAGAGGGGAAAGGGGAAGAACAGAGCGCTCGAGCTCGACTAAGGGGTTTATATAGGATGACCTTTAGTACCGGTTGGTGATACGAACCGGGACTAAAGGTGCATCTCTAGTCCTGATTCATATAACCAACCGGTACTAAAGGTTCTGATGGGCCCCAGCCCGACACAAGCCTCCCACCACCTCATTACTACCGGTTTGTGGCACGAACTGCTACTAAAGGTTCGTCACGAACCGGTGCTAATGTTCGCCGCCCACCTAGCCGTTGGAACCGGCGCTAATGATCACATTAGTGTCGGTTCAGCTACAAACCGGGACTAATGTGCTTCACATTAGACCCTTTTTCTACTAGTGGACATACATACATTTGATGCCTACGGTTGGATGGCCGGCGCCACAGCCGCTGTTCGCAGATACATTCGGACATCTCCACGGACATTTGGTGTCCCAATCCCCACTAACCTCCTCGTAATTTTCACTGCGAGCGAACCACCACACCTGTAAATCCAGTTGGTAATTTTCTTCCATAGATAGATGCATTATCCTTTTGGTGCCGACGGTAGATTCCTAGGTGGGGTGCAAATTAATGGAGGTTCTGGAAGACACGTAGTACAAGACTTTCGCAGTTACTTCCTTCGTTCCGAATTACTTGTCATAGATATGAATATATATAAATGTATTTTAGTTCTAGATATATTCATTTCTGCGACGAGTAATTTGGAGATACATCCATACCTGCGACAAGTAATTCGGAACGGAGGGAGTACACTCTAAGTAATAGGCTAAAGTATAGTTCTCTTGGTAGAACGTCTCTGCACTACTCTTGGTGACACTATAATTGCATCGGCAGTGATGCACACCGTGTTTCCTCAGGCGTCGTCGAGACGTCGAATATTCAGTGCCTATTGGCCCTACAACTGACTTGCCCCGCTCACTTCACTGTCAAACAGAAACAGAGATCGGTGAGGACTGCGTGCATCTCACTCCATTTTTACTAGCAGTCAGAAAACCAAGCAGGCATGCATTGTACTACTACACTAGCTAGAAAGTGATGGGCCTAATTGTATGTTGGCGCAGTACAGTAGTGTCCGAACAGTACTTTGCTGTTGAACGTCGCAGTCACTCGTTCCTCGTCTGCGCTGCAAGGACAGATCTATATTATGCCCTGGATTCTTGGTGCATTGCATATATAGCGGCTCCATCTTCCTCCCCGGACGACAGGTTTGCCTCTGAGCTTCTTGGTCTCCATAGCTCAAGTAAACCTTTAACCGCCTTTAATTTAGTTGGAAGTTTCTCCTCCACTCATGGCTAGCTACCTAGCTTAAATATCTCTTACTTCCTTAGTTTGTTCTAGCTTCCGATCTAGTATGTTCTTTGTAATCTTGGTTGAGAAAATATGCCGTGTGAAGTTTCTTAATTAGCACCGGTGCAACAGAACAAAGAGATTTCAGCTTGCATGGACTAAATTAACTACTATAAATACAAGAAATGAAGCTATAGCTCCATTTATTTGTTTATTTTTGCCTCCTTGCTTGCTCTAACTTCACCTCGTTTGCATGCATATGTAGGAAGGAAGGAAATAGTGTGGTAATGGCGCTGCCAGTAATTCGTCCGAGCCAGGAAGAACCCACTCTACCGCCGCCGGCCCGGAAGCAATTCAGCAACCAGCTCGCTGCTGCTGTGAGGAGCATCAACTGGAGCTACGCCATATTCTGGTCCATTTCAACCAGCCGTCCAGGGTAATAATTTAATTTATACACGAAGAGTACATCCGAGTGATGACCACTCCAACTAGCTGCAATAATACTTTTCAATTTGTGAGAAGCAAGCCGTTTTCTTTCCTCTTACGATACCGGCCGTTTGTTGTGCATAGGGTTCTGACGTGGAAGGACGGGTTCTACAACGGCGAGATAAAGACGAGGAAGGTCACCAGCTCGGCGGACCTCACCGCCGACCAGCTCGTCCTGCAGAGGAGCGAGCAGCTGCGGGAGCTCTACGAGTCTCTCCTCTGCGGCCAGTGCGACCACCGGGCCAGGCGTCCAGCCGCCGCGCTGTCGCCGGAGGACCTCGGGGACGCCGAGTGGTACTACACGGTCTGCATGAGCTACGCCTTCCGCCCTGGCCAAGGGTATGTACCTCAAGAACAACTCTTCTAATCCATTACCAATCCACAAGGAAAGAGCTAGTAACTTTGTCTTTGTAAGATTCAAGATGGCAACGGAGATGAAACCCATCGGGTTTTGCCTTTTCAAACCCATCCCCACGAGAAAATCGTAAACCCGTCCCCGTCCCCATCACCGTGTGCGGGGCTGTTTTCTGCCCATCCCCTAAACCCATTGGGTTTCGACCCACGGGGAACCCACGATAAAATCAAAATATTTAAACAAACATAGTGACGACAAAGAATTACATTTCAACAGCAAAACAAGCATATTCCAGCAGCATAACTTGAGTAAATTTCAACATAAACAATAGTAGATGGTTCAACAGCTATATAAGTTCTGAAATAGAACTTATAGTTCACAAATCATTTAAAGTTGGAATCATCATGACATCTTTCACATTTCCAAGCCTCCAAACGACCATCTTTAAATCTTCCAATGCCAAATCAAAGTGCCAAGTCCTAGGGAAGATAAAAATTCGCTCAAGTTAAAGTTAAACATGGGAAAAATATGCAGATTAGTATATTAAATTTGCAAGTACCTGTACTTCACCTGCATTCCCTCTTGAATGTCTTGAAGACAACTCCAAAATATTTGTCCTTATTCATTGTCAGCATCTATGAGAATCAAATAAGTAGTAATGAGCATCTTATGAAACATTGCGGCAAGATAATGATAAACTTTATGATGATATGTAAAGAAAGACACACCTTTATATTTGTTTCTTATCCATTCTTGTGAACACATCAAGGCCTCTAAGATTTCGGAGGTAAGATGACTATGATGGTAAAAAAATAATGTAATTTCGCGGGTATTGTCGGGTTTCGGATTCGGGGACTACCGAAACGGATGTAAACCCACGAAACGTGTTGGGTTGTATAATGTGCCCAACAATAGCCCCGCGGAGATGAAAAGATGTACATCCTCATCCCCTAATAGGGTAAAAACCCACGGGAACGCGGGTTTCGGAGCCCCATTGCCATCTTGAGGTAAGATATATTATTAGGCGTAGTGCTAATTTACTGAAGAGTGTTTATTGTTTGGTCAAGGTTGCCAGGCAGAAGCTTTGCGGGCAACGAGCATGTTTGGCTGTGCAATGCTCAGTGCGCAGACACGAAAACCTTCCAGCGCGCACTCTTAGCAAAGGTACCTACTACGGTTAATCGAGTACTATCTGATTAATCTGCACCCGATCTACTCCCTCTGTTTCTAAATACTTGTCTTTTTAGGATTTCAAATGAACTATTACATACGGATGTACGTAGACACATTTTAGAGTGTGGATTCACTCATTTTACTCCATATGTAGTCATTTGTTGAAATTTCTAGAAAGACAAATATTTAAGAACGGAGGGAGTATATATGTACTCCTATATATCTGTGGCTATTGTTAACTAATATCATGATGTCCACCATGTATGGCGGCCACGCATGCTACCCAGACGGCGTCTATCCAGGTTAGCGCACGCCATGCACTGTATCACCTGGGCATACTGTTAAGATCAGATTTCTGAACCCAACTGCACGTGTCTTCGGTCACATTTTTTCAGACAGTCGCCTGCATTCCCTTAATGGGTGGTGTGCTTGAGCTCGGGACAACAGATACCGTGAGTTTTCGTCCCATCAAGCATATGATATTCACCTTTGTTTCAACAATAAACGGAATACTAACCCTTGTTAACATATTTTCGTAGTCTACTTGTGTAAACTGTGTGTGGTTCTCTCCTCTCGGCACGAGCTAAGACAAGCAAACTACCCCCAAAAAATGGAAAGTGAACCCGGCCATACTACATAGAGTCTCTGTGTTAAAAAAATTGCAAAGGGTGTGACTAGCCTCAGTCAATTGAGACTTAACTAAGTCTTAGTCAAGTGACATGACATGCAAGAAAGAAAAAGAAAAAAGTTAAACAGAAAAATGTGAACATATCTCAATGTAAGATCTCAAGAATATAGAATCGACTGAGACATACAAGTCTCAATCGACTGAGATTTAGTAAGATTGAAATGAAAAATGTGTTAGATATATGTATCTATTTAGACTATTTTATTTGAATACTACATCTTTCCATATATGGCTAGACAACAAAGACACATACTCACATGCATGTGTAGATCTAAAGAGTGCAAATAATAGATGCACTAGTATTTCCAGATCCAGACATCTATCTTTTTGTGTAGCTCACATGCATGCTACAATATCTTTTAATCAAACGTTACATATATGTACAAGAGATCTATATTTACCTGTAGATTTATGCTCATAGTTCTTTTGAAACATGTAAGTATTATTTTGTTTTTAAAAAAA